CTCACCCTCTGGGGACAGGGGCAAGTGCGGGGTCCCAGGTAATGAGACTACACCCGCCATAGGGCGGCATCAGAAGCACCTTCATGATGATTAACTGCACACTGTCAGGCTTCAGGGCTGCCTCTGCCAGAGAGAAAGGGCGTTCATTCGAGAAAGTCTCCCTGGGCTTGTGGGTTTGTTTTTTCCACCTTCCCCAGAAGGTTCTGTGGTCTTGGAAAGGTGTCGCTGAGCCGCAGGGTGCCCACCTCATTTCCCAGTGACAGATGACTGGCTATCCCAGCTGTGTGGCATCGTGGAGACCGTGTGAGTCAGCGGCTGGCTGGCGTGGGCTGCTCCCGTGAAGTTCCCAAGGGCTTGCTGCCTCTGATGGGAGTCGGAGAGCCACCGGGCCTCTTGCCTCCCCATCATCCTCGCCTCCCTGCCTCGGGGCCTCTCTCTGGGCTGCCTCAATGGAGGCCAGCTCAGGTGGGCTCCTGGCCAGGCGGAGGAGGAGGAAGAGGAAATGCAGGAGAGGTGCCCTTCGACAGAGGAGCGAGTGCTGGTCTGCGTCCTCAGACACCCCAGCTTTGCTCCCAACAGCGGGATGGGTGCTGGCCTGCATCCTCAGACACCCCGGCTTTGCTCCCAGCAGAGGCGCGGGTGCTGGTCTGCATCCTCAGACACCCCGGCTTTGCTCCCAGCAGAGGGATGGGTGCTGGTCTGCATCCTCAGACACCCCAGCTTTGCTGATCTTGAGGGTGTTTGAGTTGATCCCTTTGTGAGGGTGATGGGTGGGCCTTTGGGAGCTTTGGTGCAGGTAGCTCATCTTTAGTAAAGGGAAAGGAGCTGGCCAGGGGGTGCACTGGGAACTCTCTGCCTTGTGCAGAGGGACTCAGCCGGGTTGCCCACCTCCATTCTCCAGATCTCAGTATTAGAGACCTCCCTCACCGGGTGACCAGCCCCAAACCAAAAGGGCCCATGCCTCTCCCATCATTCCCTCACGTGACACCCCGGCTCCTGCTCTTAGCAGCCCTCCTTCCACTCCATCATTATGTGTTTACTCGCACTGTATCCCTCTCTCCGTGGTCTCTGCACTCCATTAGGGGAGGACGTGGCCCTTTCACTCCACTCCATCACCGGTGCCTGGTATATCTAGCTGACACTTACTTATTAGTGATGTGAAATGAATGAATGGACATTTACCATTATGGACAGCACCTCATTAAGGTTTTTAAAGTGCTATCAAAGCAGTGTGTACCCTTGGTTTAAAAAGCCACTAGTACAAAATCAGTACAGGAAAGCTAGGTTATCTTGAAACCAGCGACTCCTGCCAGCCCATTTCTCTCCACACCAGCCCTCCCCAGAGCCAATTCTTTGGGCCATTTCTGTCACCCCCACCCAGCTTTTCATCGTATGTTTATTGCTGGTTCTTCCACGGGTTCCTTTTGCCTTCTTGTCGTACACTTGAGCCTCCTTTAGTTCTTGCTCCGTGAACTTTCCACCCTATCTTGCCTTTGCCCTGGGTGAGCTGAGGCTGCACAGATGGGGCCCTGCTCTCTCTACACGTCTTTTCTCCAGCCCGTCTTCACCTCCCAACTTCTGTTGCGTTTCCTTGTTAGGGTTTGTAATATTTCCATTGCATTTATGTGACCAGTAAATCTTACCTGTTTTCGGGGGAGACATTAACTCTAAAAGGTAAAAAAAAAAACCCAAAAAATAACAACAGAAAAAAACAGCCATAAAACTGTGTTTCTATGATCACTATGACCGTGGTCTATGCAGAGCTAAGGAATGTATCGGGGCGGGAGTGCCTTCTCTCTGGGTTGGATGTCACAAGCCCAGGCCCTCCCTCAAGAGGAGGCTCCTAGCGTCAAGAGCATATAGACTGTTTTTCTTTTCCTTTTTTTTTTTTTTTTTT